ATTGAAATTTGTTCTCGAGCCTCAGCACGAAATATATTAACAAGAAGTTGCTGTTTGAGTTTTCCATTACGAGGCAAAGCTCGTTTCTCAATGTTTTCTGTTTATAAATTAGATATTAATATTAAAGCGTTGTGTGTTTTCGGTTTTGCTTCCGATCGTCGTTCCGTTCCGGCGCGGCTTTGCGCTTTATTAAAATTTTCGATTCCCTTTGCGAGCGATGAGAGAAGACGACCGAAAATGATTCGTAACCTGATTCCGCTTTCAGTGGGGTAGTTTAGTCGACGTCGGTCGGGCAATTGGAGACGTTTTTGTTTACACAGATTGTTGTTTGTTGTGGGACCTACGTTTACCGAACACTCGAAAGGGATGGGATGCTTTGGTTCTTGTGTTACTGACACGCCGACACCCTAAACCATTGTTGTTTTTAGCTTAGAAATCGCAGCCAGCGACACAAATTTGACGGTTAAAGCCAGTAAACGAAGACGCTTCCACTAAAAGTCGCGCCAACACTTCACCAAAGGTGAATAACCGATTACGGCAGTCTTATGACAAAAACGAAATAAACTCAAACACAGTTCTTTGAACACTTCAGTTCAAGTGTCAAACGTAACACAACAGAAAGACTCCAAATTAAGTAGACACTCGCACTTGTAAGAACCAACGAGACCGACTCCGCATTTAGTATTAGAAAACATTTGCATAAGTAGACCATAAGTGATCTTTTCTTATTTCTACCCGGTTCCGAAGGTGAACAACCAATTATAACTTTGAAAAATGAAACTTCCTTCGTTGCCATAGGTATAATTGCTCAGAGCAATTCTGGTTTGCATTACGGGAAGAAGAGGCCCACAAGATCGGCCCCCTTCAATTTATTGGTGATTTGTCATTTCACCATTTTGGAACGCTCACATTCTTTTAATTTAAGCGACATCAACGTAAAATTTAACACAAAATGCTGTCATTGTTGTGCTAATTTTATGATATTCAATCTCTGATGGAGATTTTACGCTCTCATATAAAGGGTACAAGAATTGCAAAAAACAAGATACGAAGAATCGCATAGGATTTTTTGACAATGACCGCGAATTCGGAAACACGACTTTTAATCCGGCTCTGCGACTCGGTTTACATGAAAGACCATTCAACATTCTGACGGCATCTAGGTATTTCCTTTGTAAACCCTTTAGTTAAGATGTAAGTTATTTTTATGGTAGATTTTTTACTACCTTACTTCTTTATTTTCGCCGCTAGAGACCATCCGCGTGTTATAAGTATCATTTACAATAGTTCTTTGTTTCGCCGCGACAGGTCGTCCAGAGGTTTCCCATAATACTTCTAATTCCATCTATTCTTTAATTTGGTCTTGCGTAACAGTGGTATTTTTTCCGCGCAGAGAAGATCTGGCATTCACAGTGGTTACGTGGAAATTATTTTTCTTGATACGCCATTACTTTTACTTGAATTATTGTCTAGTTGAATAAGGGCTCTTAGTATTGGATATTACCATATTTCTTTAGAGTGTCTCTCTCTATTTTTGAATACGCCTAGCGGATTTATATTTGCAAGTAATTAGTGTGAGGGTTTTCATAGTTCTTATTGTTTTCTCCTAATCTTCAGGACTATTTTTTCGTTATTATGTACCTGGATATTACCTACGCAGTACCTGAATTACATCTCATCTTCGTAAAATGGTGAATAATTATTACTACCGCAATACTTTGTGGCGCACTATTCAGTTTCTCTCTCGTGTTTGTTTGTGTTGTTTTCTGTTACAGACAAGGCAGATAAGCGTCCTTCTGAGCTCAAAAGGCCGTTACAACCAGAGTTCAAAGGTATTTTCGACGACTCCATTATATAAAGTTTAAGTACATATTGGTTTTTGAATTGTAATTACTACATTTATCTGATAGTCACTTAACCATTATAGTTCCGTTCTTTTCTGCCGAAGCCCGTTTTGATATGAATCATTTTCCAGACTACGAATTCATCCTTTTCTGCCAAAAAATTAAGTTAAATGTAAATGTTGACATTTCAGATCTAGATATTACTGTTTGTAATATTTTGAGATCATTTATTAAATCGCTCTCGATTGTGACAACAATTATTGTTTATATTCTACTACTTCTTATATTTGCACACATACAGGTAACTCGCAATTCGTTGCGAACCCGAATTTTAAAAGGCCACGGCACTTTACATGTTTTACCCGAAGTTAAACTGTAAACTGCGAATTCTTCGCTAAATTTTACTCAATAATTGCACGTTTTAATTCAGGAATTTCGACAGCAAACCTACGCACACGGAAGAAAAATTCATCCACAGAGTACATGTGATCGCTCGTGAAACCCAGAATTACCGCTATCCCACTTCTCTCACTATTTAAGTCTCGCCCGCTAGAACATCTGAAATGGAACCTTTTTTCTGAACAAATCAATTTCGACTCGCGCACCTTTTTAAACGAATAAGAAACCCGCATTCCCATCACCTGCTCGGCTTTTCGCAAAGCGGAATGAAACTTTTAGGTTTTAAGAGATCGTGGCAATCGCGCTCCCTTTCCGCAATATGTTTCTTGATATTGCCAGACATACTTTCGTTCATGTCTGCTATGAAGCGGTACATGTGTAAATTTTCCTATGCCGAACAAAATACAAATTCAAAAAAATACTTTTTTTTTAGTTCTAAGTCCGGTGACCATTTTTAAACGTTGCCGGGTTGGTTTTATTTCTGTTATTGTAGATTGAACATTCTAAAAAAAATCTCCAGGCATCGGAGTACCCAATTGTGACGATGGTAAAACTTCTCCCGAATTCCCGATTCATTTTTTTGTAACAGCTAGAATGTGAAATTGATCAGCTCCATCAAGTTAGACTCCGCAATTTAAAAAATGCGTAATGTGCTAAATTGTGCTGATCCAATTTTAATTTGTGCTGGTCTGGAAAATCAGTTTTCCTTGAATTGAAAAGCAAGGTCCAATATGACTTTCAGCCTCCCGGTTTTTAAGCTGCAAATTCCACTACTACTTTAACGATTTGTGCTCGGAGCATATTGACCCAATTTTCGAATTTGCGACACTCGATAGTTTCTGCACCCAAATTTGGGGAGCCAACTTGATTCTGGGCACAGCTTTAGCATATAATACGCAATGCTAATAGTTGAGTCTAATCGATTCAAATTCATAATTCATAATGGAATAATTCATAATTAAGCAAAACGCATCTTTAACTTTAACTCGAATTGAAATGACGAATTCGTAGTCTTTCTAATTTTAGATGCCCTATTTTAGTAATATGCATAAAGGTCTAGCCAGTATTTGAAATGTTAACCAGTTTTTCCTAAAAACAACAATATCGGCGTTGACGGTTTCAAATCCAAGAATTCTTCTAATGCATATACTTAGTTCATAACTAAATACAGTATTAGGTTGTGCAACAAAAACATTAACATATTAAAAACTTACCTTAGAGCTCTTATAGTAGAGTAAGGAAGTCATTTACTTAGTAAAAAAAAGGAGTGCAATTTTTGAATGAAATTCGGCGATTCCAGTTAGGAAAAGTGGAATATTAAGTATAAATGTGCAGTTTGAAGCATTTGTTAATTATATTCAGTGCGAACCAACTACTGGAATACTTCACTACAAGGTAAATTCCTTTCAATTAAGATTAATTAATTGAAGTAGATATAATATTTACGAGTAGCATTTTTAATGATAATATATGTTCTTATGGTCTGATATACGAACTGCTAACGTAATTTATATTAAATTTGGTTGGAATGATTAGTTTGCCTCTCTTGTAATTAACTGTATTTTAATTTCATTTTATACTTTTCTAAATCATTGTGAACTGCATTAGGGCAGTTGTAAAGATTGTTTATAGACAGTGAGGATAGAGAAGATAGAGAAAAGCCTCGCTTCCATGCCATTATAAGTTGCCAATGAATGTCCAGGTGCTACTTTTGCAGTAAATTTTGTTGGTAGTGAACTGCAGGCTTGAAAGTTCAAAGAAGGCCTCATTAAAAAAAGCATTGTCAATTTTATCAATTTCTAACCTTTGTGATTGCGTCAAAAATGTAGCATACAGAGGGCAAAAATTGCTACTACACCTGTTTCGTTTTGTATACAGTGATATTTATTAAGAAGTACACCGGGCCCAAGAGGTGACGGCCAGATCTTTGTTTTAAGAAGTTATTTTGGTTGCATACAATTAGGCGACTTTCAAAAGAGATTTTGTCATTTAAAAGTAGACATAGGAAAAAACAATACATATAAATCCCTATGTCCACTTCTGAATAGCACTCTATACAACCTACAGTACCTAAGGCATGGAAGATATTCACAAAAGTAAGTTGGTAGACTAAAAAAATGAAAATGCAATTTCAACCTGCCAATAAAACTGTCAAGCCATAAACCCAGTATCGAATATTGGGTTTTGAAAACTTGTCCGTATGTCGACGCAAAAAGCGCAACCCTCGGCACGCTACGTACATGGTGCGCGCTCTCACATACAATGCATATGTCATGTATAGGTACAGTTACCCCTGGCTACCCCATGTAAGCCACCCCGTCTATCCTCTGACATCTGCAAACAATGATAATCCCCGATTATTTTACTTTGATAGCCCACAGCGCAGCGTGATGTTTCAATCAGAATCTATTTTATAATTCATTTATTTCGTTCCGTGACGTTTTAGTTTCGCGGGCCGGGTAAATAAGAAACGTGTCCTGTCGAACGTTCGCGGGAGAGTTCGGAAAAAAAAGGAACGTAAACCCCCAGGAGACACACACCGTACGGTATAAAATGCGGCAGATGTGCAGATGACCAGATAAGGGCGTGCAACATTGCTTACTTGTCATGTCACCGCTCATCCGATACGGCTAGTTACTTATTCGATTCGCATTATCATTATTACCCTCATCGCCCCTCTATAAACTGCACCACACCGACGCATCATCTATCTATAATAAATAAACGCGACGCGAGAGAAGTTTACAACTCACTTACCTTACGACGTCCTGCACGCGCGCCTGCTGTACCACCTTCGACGTATTGCCGAGGACGGTAGTAACCAGCTGCATCAGGGATGCTGCCAGGGGATCGGTCGGCAAGGCGTCCTCGCAATCTCCCAATTTCTGCAAGAAAAGTTTAGGATTATTTTACGGTCCTTCGAGTTCGAAGATTTAATGTAGGAGCATCCACTTCGAAAGGACGTTCGGTTAATAATGCACGAAAGTCAATCTTCCCTAATAAAATTTCTGATTTAAAAGTCCGAGGGGTCAGAGATATTTTACAATTTCGTAATGTACGCGTCGTTGATTTTTTATGTCTCTATCGATGGAACTTTATCCGTAACAATTCAACAAGGATACATTTTGTATATTGAATCTAAAAGGGGTAAATGAAGAAGAAAAATAATAAAATAGAAAAGGGTCGGCAATGATTGAGTCTTTTCATCCATTGCATGGGGCGTTGTAAATTAAATGCTTGATGTCCGAAAAGTGAACGCAAACTTGTAGAAGGTACATTGCGATCAAAATCTCAAAATACCGCATCTTAGTTTATACAACACCCTGTATATTAACTAAAATAATTGTAATTTTTTTTGCTTAGGTATTTCATGATTAATGTTTTTTTTCGGCTATTATGTACATATTTATCTAATATTGTCCTAGTTTATGGAACTATTCTGTTTAGACAATAAATTATTATTATTATTATATTTATAAAGCACATATATGATATACTAAATGTATTACCAATTTATTAGCGACGCATACGACTACGACTAACTTCGTACAAATCGTTGACGCATAATAAAACAAGATACGATTTATTTTATTTTGCCTTTATTTTCGAGTGGGCGGGGTTTCAGCCAAGGCTGCTCTACCAACCCAACCCACTATACATTTACAAATATCCATGCCTGAACCCGGATTCGAACCAGGGACCCTTAGCACCACAGTCCAGCTTTAACTGAACTGCGCCCACAGGTCTACAGACACTTTTCGTTCTCGAGTTAGACAGGCCGACAGACAAAACCATCACATAAGGGAAATTTCCATCGAAAAATTGAGCAAAATTAATATCAACACGGCAGAGTATTGGCCGTCGGATAATCACGATCTCGAGTTTTACCTTCGCGAAATTGAAGCCGGTTTGCTTGGATTTGCGATCCACACGACCTTTTCTTCGGCCAAACTTTGCGTGGTGGTGCAAAAAAGTCAACTGTACCATCGAAGCGATCTGTTTCCATATTTCTAAAGGAAGCGGCATTTTCCAAAGAGATACGATCAATTGATACCCGAGTAAGTTATTTAAAATTTGTCGATTTGTAGTGGTCAGTTATTTTGAAGAATCTGCATAAGAAATTTTGTTCGACGTACTTTTAATATTCCTAAAGGAATCTACCTATGAGAACCATTTGCATGAATAGATTTGTATTACATTTATGAATAAGAATCGAATCCAAGCGAAGGATTTTGGTTATTTTGATTCATTGATTGGAAAATTTACATTTAATTGCAGTATTTCAGTATACAGGGTGACACTTTTAAAACTTTCAATGGGCGATATCGTTTTTTATATTAGAGGTATCACAAAATGGCCAAAACCGTTTCGGTAGAATCGAGGGGAATCAAAATGGTCATATAAAGAAGGAACCAACTTCCAACCTCGTACCCCCCGCCGCCCCCATGCCTAAATTTTGAATTGTGACGTATCACTTGTGATACACCATTGGAAAGCTCTTAAAAAATGCTTTTCAGAAATACCATACACTGGTACATTTAAACTGCCCATTCACAATTTATTACACTAAAATTTGAACTGTCATTTTTCAAGAAGCATAGATAAAAGGGGGAGTCTTCCCGAGATTTTAGAATTTTTAAGAATAGGTACGTATATAAAAACCATGATTAGTCCTTAAAAGCTTTTAAAGGTCTGTACATAACTTTAAGAACGTTGGATTATTTTAAGTATTACTTTTGATGAAGGTCTTCATGAATCACCAACAGTTTTCTGTCCGCGAGTTGTTAATGGTCTCCATTTTTTTTAGTGCGGGCCTTTAAAGCCTCTAACAATGTCTTTAAGAGCTTTTGAGAGAATTTTTAATAATCTTACCTATAGGTATGTAGGTAGGAATCTTGAAGAGCTTGAAGAGTATTACAGACAGTGCAAGGTATAAAACTTGAGTAGGTACTATACCATTAAAATAGGAATCTGATATCTTATTCAATGATGCCACGAGAGCAGTTGAAAATCATTTTGTTTTTCAAAATACTATTAATTTTGGCAGTGTATAACCTTCCTTTTTTTACCAAAAATCGACTGCACCAAAATTTCTCAGGAAAACACTTTTCTTATTAATTTTGGTGCGTAGAATCCAAAACAATTAGTACTTTTTCGATCAGACTTCTCAATCAAAAGTTGTGGACTAGAAACCAATTTCGAAAGAAAATTCAAAGGGCTGTAACTTTTGAACTAGTAGCCCAATCATGGAACTGTTGGAAATTATGGATTCTACAGGCCCCATTCTATAAGAAAATATTTTTCCGGGTCGATCTGCGACAATTTTTTTTTCGGGGCTCAAAAAAAGGCAAATTAAAACACGATATTGTAAGTGCATAAGTAATATAGGTACAAACATTTTTTTTATCTCTAAGTTTTATTTCAGGGCCGTAGCCAGGGGGGTGCCAGAGGGTGCCTGGCACCCTCTGGATATTAAGTGGCACCCTCTGACCGATCACGATCAGAATCGTAAAATAAAAATGTACAATATTGCTATTTTTGTACATTGTAAATTAATTATCACAAATATACAATATTATTGTTGTTCATAATAAATTATTACAATAAAATTGAATTAAAATGATTATTCTTGATAATTATAACACCTACTCTACATACTACATTTTGTAGTATGAGTACAATAATGGTTATTAGAATTATGCAATTTGGTTCAAAAGTAACAAGTTTAAGTAACTCAGATTCAGACATATCTGAAATCTGGACATTCTAGCTCTAGGCTTGTTTCTTGCTTCATAAGTTGGCCACATCGCTGATTACATTCGAAAAGGAAAGAAATATAAATATAGACATGAACACACTTCTAAGAGAATTTCATAATGCCAAACAGAGAAGGTTGCATTGCAACTATATATATTTCAGCTTTTTTCTATTGTTATAAATTGTATATAATGTATTATATAAATATAAATTGTATTTATCTAATATTTTTATGTATGCTTAAATATTGATTCGATTGACTTATATTTATGTTACGTTTATTTTATATTATTTATATCTTTTGTTTTTTTAATATAAGTATAATATATATTGGATAAAATTAGTTTTTTTTAATATATTTTTTGCTTTTTTGACAAACAAGTCTCTCGAGACTTCATTTTTGTAAACAATAAGTGCACCCTCCAACATGTCGTTTGCAACCTTACAATTTTCGTTCTAGCTACGGCCCCGCTTTATTTACAATCTGTCATATAGAACATTAAGTGAATGTAATAGCAACAATAATGCTTTAACACAATAATGCATTAATACACAAACATAAATATGAAAAGTTTAAATTATTATAGTTATTTTTAACAAACCAGAGAACGAGGGGTAAGTTCAGTATATAATTTACCTATTTTCAAGTACTTACTTCGAATCGATGATATATAAAAATAGATACCTGGTGGAAGAGCGCAATTTAAAATAATATGTACCGAGGGACAAGAAAAAACATTTAACGATAGTTTAATTTGTCTACGTTAGTGCTATACGGGAAATGACATTTTCCAAGATAATTTATAAGCAAACGAATTGAAGAAGTTTCTATTTTAACTGGATTATTCAATTAACTCGTTTAAAGTTTTTTCTTCAACGAGACCGCGCTCTCAACGTTTATTTACTTCGAGTTAATTTATACATCAACTAAAAAAAGAGAATTATTTGTAAATTTATATCTTGGCATCTCGAAGCCGGAAATTTACAATAATGTTTTAAATCAGTGCCATTTAATGTAGGGACATTTATTGTTTACGCATACTCTTTTTTTGTCAAACAGAAATTGTACACCACCAATTAAAAGTTCTTTGATCGTCGAGGTTGGTAAACTTGTTAACGTCAAAGCTCCTATGCGATTTTATTTGAAAAAGTGGAAGCGAAAACTAGTTAGAAAATTATAGAAACGATAAATTTTTTCCGACGCCGCCGTCACCTAAAAACAACGAAAGCGTAAAATTCATAACGTGCATTCCATTTTATAGACAAGTCGTTCAGCTCTCACCGCGACTAAAAGCTTGGCGCTAATGCATTCTCCCCTTACGTTCCGCCGTATCCGCAAACAGGCGATAATAACCCTTAAAGTAAAAGTATTTCCAGATCAAGTTGCCGCATTCGATATTACGAATGGACCGGCGAGGCAACCAAACAAGTGTTTGTTATGGAGAAGAGAAAACCGGGAAATAAGAGTTTATGGTCTTTGTTTTGATTTTGTAGTTCGACGTGTGAGGGCGGTAGCTATCGGAATGTTGTAGGTAAGATCGAGGTAGAGGTGCAGCACAGTAGCAAAAAAATAAATTGAAAACTAAATCTGTTTCAGCTAACAAATAAAACATGAGCTACAATAGAAATATTAGACATATAACGACTGGCGTATAGGCAACACATAATACATATCAACACAGATATACTTATGAAAATTGGAACGATGCTTGCAATTTTGGAAAAAATGTCAATAAAAAAATGGTCATTTTATGAACCTATAGGTACCCTGTGGAAGGATATAGGTAGACAACGCGCTCGTTACATGGTGAAAAAGTGCAATCGCAGCGTTATCACAAGACAAACAAATACGATTTAATAAAACAAACTCGTTTTTCAATCCGCAATCCACTGCTTATTAACGAGCGACACAAAGCGAGTTTATGATTTTGGATGTTCTGTCCGTCCGTCCGTCTGTGTACATGATAACTCACGAACGGTTTCGAATTTTCCAATTTTGTTTTCAGTAATAGCAAAGAATTGTGAAATAGTTTGAATTTACTCAACGCTGGGAGGGCGACACTCTGGCCCTCTAGTAACTGAGTTGAATAACTAAAATGTACCGCAGTTGGTGAGATTATAGGTACCT